AAAAACGTACGATGAACTAACTGCTTTTGTCCGATAGCTATTACATTCAACAAATTTCAGGAAGATATTTTTAGATGGTAAGTATCACTGAAATGATTAGTTGTCAGACGATAAATTGCTGCTTTGAGACCATGACTGCTGCAGTTTATTGATAGCATCATTGACCATTCGAGTGGACTGCGAAACGTAACCGTTACGATCTAGGCGCTGACGAAGTTCATCGACGGTTCTTGATGATGATTGTACTGTGCACTGAGAACTTACTGCTGCTAAAGGTACTGTTCGTTAATAAAAACTTCATTGTGAGAAGTGATTATTTATAGAACGAAGAACACTTACGTGTTGACGTATTTTTGCTTTCCCAATGACTTTTGAGCACTGAAACAGATGAAGATGAAGCACTCGTCTCATTCGTAGCACTCGATAACACAGGTCCATCTGAAGTGGCACTTTTCGGAGTAGCAAACTTCTCAATGTTCGGTAGGATATCGGCAAAGTCTGGACGTGAGTTCGGTTCATGTTGCCATGCAGANACATGTGCAGGAAATTGCACAGTTGGGTGAGAAGGGACTGGTGGTCTTGCTGAAAATGAGTTCATCTGAAAACTCATTTCAATACTCATCTAGAGCACTTTTGAATTGGTCGAAAGTTCTCATTTTGGGAGCTTTGCAATAGGAATCATGAAATAACCGAATTTAATTAGAATATAAATACCTTGATGTCACAACTGAAAAGAACTCAGAAGATGTCTTACAAAAAAGAAAATATTGATGATAAACTATTTCGGACATATTTTGAGCAGAAAAGCAACAGCTGGGCCGCTTCCGAAGTTCATCGGAACAGCTATAAACTATTGAAAGATATAGGTGGATCACAGATCACAATACGATCGTGAGTACGAAATATGTGCTGTTTTGTATTCTTATTCGAATTCCAATCACTGCACAGCTTATTACCCCGTTTATAAGCCATTTCGGCTGCTGCAGCAGCTGGTTTCAAATGTGCAAATGGCAGTTCGGCGGCATGGATTTCCCAGACACAAAGGGCATAACTGAATACGTCAGCTTTTCGATCATATCGACCACACTGTGTGAACACTTCTGGAGCCATCCATCTTAGGTTCTAAAACAGCGCTGAATTATTCTCAATATTGAAATACAGTCTTATTTTCGTATTAAAT